TTACAGGCATAAGCCATTGTGCCCGGCCAATTCCTCATCTTTTACAGTAGTGAATAAACTGATGTTTTCTAAAAATGAAATATATAAGTAAAGGGAAAAAATAATTCCAACCTCCTAATTCTTTTATAATTATGTTTCTTAACCATAGAAAATTCTTTTAGAAAATAATCTTTCTTACATTTATCTTAAGTTTGGGAAGTTATCTCTACTTTAGTTGCTTTTTCATTCATTAAATTCAAGTAAGAGAAAATTTAAAACATTTCATTAAAACGCACATATAATATATTCCTATTTTTATAAAATTATTTCTGTCCAGTGACATCAATGTCTGTATACATGCATATGCCATATATACATACATACACAGATACATGTATATACATCATGTAAACATATAAACATTGAGGGATAAATAGTATGATTTCTGGAATGTCATTCACACAATATTAATTATAGGTATTTCTGGGTGGTGGGATTTTGAGTAATGTTTCACATTCTTTGTATTTTTCTGCATTGCTTATAATTTTTTATAATGAGTATATGCCAGTTGGAAAAGCAATAATTTCCAAACTTAATACAAAGCTACAGTAATCAAGACAATATGATACTAGCACAAGAATGGAAATAATGATTAATGGAATCGAATTGGGAATCTAGAAGTAAATGCTTACATTAATGGTCAACTAATTTCTGGCAAGGGTACAAGGCAATTCAATGGAGGGAAAGAACAGTCTTTTTAACAAATGGTTTATGGGACAACTGGATATTCGCATGCAAAAAAAAGGAGTTGGACTGTAATCCTCACAACATATATAAAAATTAATTCATCACGCCTATAATCCCAGCACTTTGGGAGGCCGAGGCGGGCGGATCACGAGGTTGGGAGATCGAGACCATCTTGGCTAACATGGTGAAACCCCGTCTCTACTAAAAATATAAAAAACTAGCCGGGCGTGGTGGCGGCACCTGTGGTCCCAGCTACTCGGGAGGCTGAGGCAGGAGAACAGCGTGAATCCAGGAGACGGAGCTTGCAGTGAGCCGAGATCGCGCCACTCACTCCAGCCTGGGTGACAGAGCGAGACTCCGTCTCAAAATAAATAAATAAATAAATAAATAAATAAATCAAAACAGATCAGAAAACTAAATATAAGAGCTAATGCAATAAAACTCTTAGAAAAAAAAACATAGGAGTGAATCTTTGTGACCTTTTAATTAAGCCAGTTTCTTTTTTTTTTTTTTTTTTTTTTTTAGACGGGGTCTCGCTCTGTAGCCCGGGCTGGAGTGCAGTGGCGCTATCTCGGCTCACTGCAAGCTCCGCCCCCCGGGTTCACGCCATTCTCCTGCCTCAGCCTCCCGAGTAGCTGGGACTACAGGTGCCGCCACCACGCCCGGCTAGTTTTTTGTATTTTTAGTAGAGACGGGGTTTCACCGTGTTAGCCAGGATGGTCTCGATCTCCTGACCTCGTGATCCACCCTCCTCGGCCTCCAAAGTGCTGGGATTACAGGCTTGAGCCACCGCGCCCGGCCTAATTAAGCCAGTTTCTTAGTTATGACACTTAAAGCACAATAAACCAAAGAGAAAACAAATACATTGGACTCATCAAAATTAAAAACTTTTGTGCTATAGGCCGGGCGCGGTGGCTCAAGCCTGTAATCCCAGCACTTTGGGAGGCCGAGACGGGCGGATCACGAGGTCAGGAGATCGAGACTATCCTGGCTAACACGGTGAAACCCCGTCTCTACTAAAAATTACAAAAAACTAGCCGGGCGAGGTGGCGGGTGCCTGTAGTCCCAGCTACTCGGGAGGCTGAGGCAGGAGAATGGCGTGAACCTGGGAGGCGGAGCTTGCAGTGAGCTGAGATCCGGCCACTGCACTCCAGCCCCGGCGACAGCGCGAGACTCCGTCTCAAAAAAAAAAAAAATAAAAAAATAAAAAAACTTTTGTGCTATAAAGGACACCATCAAGAGGGAAAAACACAAAACATAAAATAAAACAAAATATTTGAAAATTGTATCTCTGATAAGGGACTCACATCCAAAATAAATGAAGTCCTCTGAAAACTCAAGAACAAGAGACAAATAATCAAAATTTTAAAATCAGCAAATAATCTGAACAAACATTTCTCCAAAGAAGAAATGGCCCATAAGCACATAAAAAATGCTCAAAATCATTAGCCATCACAGAATGCAAATCAACACCATCATGAGCTATAATTTCACACCCACTCGGATGGCAATAATAAAAAAATCCAGAGGGCATTAGGTGTTGGCAAGTGTGTGAAGAAACTGGAAGCCTTGTGCATTTCTGGTGGGAACGTAAAATGGCACAGTCAATATGGAAACAGTATGGCAATTCTTCAAAAAGCTAAACACAGAATTATTGTATAAGCCAGCAATTCCACTTCGGGTATATACTGAAAATACTGAAAGCAGGGACTTGAACGGATATTTTATACCCTAATGTTCATAGCAGCATTATGCACAATGGCCAAAAGATGAAAAAAATGCAAATGTTCACGAAGGAATTAACGGGTGAACAAAATGTGGTGCATGCAATGGAGCATTCAGCTTTAGGAAGGGAAGACGTTCTGGAACATGTGCAGCCTGGTGGCCCCTGAAGCCATGGTGCTAAGTGAACCTGGTGGCCCCTTGGCCCTGAAGCTGGCGCTAAGTGAACTGGTGGTTCCCTGAAGCCATGGTGCTATGAACCTGGTGGTCTCTAGCTTTCAATGGTGCTAAGTGAACCTGGTGGCCCCTGAAGCCATGGTGCTAAGTGAACCTGGTGGCCCCTGAAGCCATGGTGCTAAGTGAACCTGGTGACCCCTGAAGCCATGGTGCTAAGTGAAGTCGGCCACACACAAAAGGGCAGACACTGTGCGGTTCCATTTACATGAGGCACCTAGAGGAGCCAAACTCAGACAGACAGAAAGCAGAATGGCGGTTGCCGGGGCTGGGGAGGAAAGAATGGACGGCTATCATGATGAAATATTAATAGTACGGGAGATGGACGGTGGTAATGATTGCACAAAAATATGAATGTACTTAATGCCACTGAACTGTGAACTTAAAAATGGCTAAAATGGTAAATTTTGTTTTGTATATTTTATCACAATTAAATGAAAATTAAAATAAAAAAAGGAAGTACTGATATATGCTGCACGAACCTTGAAAACATCATGTTAAGAAAGCCAGACACAAAAGGCCAAAGCATATGATTATTTATGTGAAATGTCCAGAATAGGCAAATCCATAGAGACAGAAAGCAGATGAGTGGTTATGTAGGGGGGGGGAGTAGAAACGGGGAAATGATTTCTTCTAGGTTTGGTGAATATGTATAAAATTAGATAATGATGATGGCTGAACAGTCTTGTGAACATACCAAAGACCACTGACTTGTAGACTTTCAAAGGGTTAACTTTATGGTATGTGAATTTTATCTCAGTAAAGTTGCTATGAAGAAACAATGAAGTTGTTCAAAAGAGATAAACAGGCTGGGTCTGGTAGCTCACACCTGTAATCCCAGGACTTTGGGAGGCCGAGGTGGGCAGATCACCGGAGTTCAGGAGTTCGAGACCAGCCTGGCCAACATGCTGAAACCCCATCTCTACTAGAAACACAAAAATTAGCTGGGCGTGGTGGCACGTGCCTGTAATCCCAGCTACTCGGGAGGCTGAGATGGGAGAATCGCTTGAATCCAGGAGGTGGAGGTTGCAGTGAGCTGAGATCACACCGCTGCACTCCAGCCTGGGTGACAGAGTGAGAATCTGTCTCCAACAACAACAACCAACAAAAAAAGAGAGAAGCAAATGAAGAACTGAACGGTTTGGTTCAGAGAGCAGTAAGAGTTCCATGGGAAGTGGAAATCAAAACCTCCAAAGCCATGGTAAATACAACGCGCGTATTTGACACTGCAGTCTCTTGGTGAGAAGTGACTTCAAGCAGCAGGAATTTGTACTAATCTGTCAACCAAGCACGTAAGACTTTTGAACCAGTTTTCGAATTGTCTTTCCAAATATATGTTTGGGAGGATTTTCCCCACACCCAATACAAGAATAAAAAGAACACAGAGGAACAACCGCCCGGCCTTGCTATGCTCATGTGATTCTTCCGCCTGTGTTCAGATTACACGTGCACATCCTTTACATCTAACGTTGTAGGTAACGGGACTCGCAGCTGTATATGAGCACAATTATCAAACATGAAAAAGCTCCACTAGTCCAACCTATGCTGAGGATGCATCGCCTATTTTCTATTAGTCATGAGCGTCGTTTTTCAGAGCCTGCCACTCCTTGTTAACTTCCTTGCTACGTGCTGCTTGGCCCCAAACCCAGATGAGCTGACAGGGTCTCTCTCTGATAGTTTTGTGGCCAGGCTGTCTGCATATTTCAGTGTATCTTGTTATTAATCTATTGATCCGATATTTATGGAGTACCTACTGTGTGCCAATCACGTGCTAAGTACTGGCGAAATAGAATGGTCTGGCCTTGTTGGGCATATACGTAGAGTGGAGGAGAGAGAAAAGAAACAAATAGCCCCCTAATGAAAATATCATTACAGACAATGGCGATGACAATGAGGGCTATGGAAAGGCAAAGGGGTGGCACGCGTGGGCCTGGATGCAGATCTGTTTAGCCGGCGAACTTGGAGGCTGTGGCATTCAAACTGAAACTAGAAGGTAAGAAGGTGGCAATCTTCCAAAGATAAGTCCAGGTAAAGGGGATGGCAGGATTGTTGTTTTATGTTTGTGTTTAAGGTCACTTAAACTATCCACATCATTGTGTACGAGACAGCTTTGGGTTACAGTTTATTTCAAAACTACAGAGAGATCACCCTCCCTAAAGCAACCACTTCCTTTGTGTCCATTTCATTAACTTCCTATTTTTCCCACTGCATTAAGTGGGAAATCTTTTCCCTACTCTTTAATACTGGCATAAACTAATCTTCACGTGCCATACCCCCTCCAATCATACATCACGGACTCATGAGGATCCACAAATTACCTGGGAAAGAATCAGCTGTCCATGAAATGCGTGCACAAATTTTCTTAAAAATGAAAAATAGGTTTCATCTCCAAGTCTTTCGGCAAGAAACCGAAGAAGGAAGTAGCCCTGGAAGAAAGAAAGAAGAGACCGAAAAAGAGGCCTGCCATGAGTTCATAAAAAAATGGTTACATAGTCAGCCCTACCCAACCCACAGTCACTTGTGCATCTAGAACGTGCTGTCCTACCCGTCCCTGGCTGCCCTTTCCATTTTCACCAGGAAGGCTTGGCTTGGAAATTAATTAGTTCTCAACTCCTTTGTTAATGTTGTCGTCATTTCTGCTTGGACTTGGTTCACATGAAGCCTCGTTGTCCAACGCAGACGAAAAGAGAAGAGAGACCCGGCTCTTCTCTACTCCAGCTACCAGGAAAGGCCTTTACAACAAAAAACACTTTCTTCTCACCCATGGCTTTCAGCTGGAACCTGACAGCAATGTGAGAGTTCTGCTCCTCAGGCAGGGAGAACAGAGGTACAGGGCAGGGAATAGTTCACCCTTTTTTCATTCAGTCTTTCCTAACACGGTCTCCTTTTGGGGGCATGAAGTGCTTTAATTACTGAACCCTCAGATATCATTACGGTATTTTCGCCTCGGTCACGTCACTCATCATTATTGTTTAACTGCGCTGCACCACAACTGGCTTCTGCAACTGAGAGGTGCTTACCTTTAAATAATGCACCTGCATGAAGATCTTCTCTGGATTGAGTCCATGCTTGATAACAGATGCTCCTGAGTCACTTGTGTGGCCAGTTTTGTCTTTATTGGGTCTAAAATGATTCAGTAACAGTTTATTTAAGTATAGCACATTCTTAAGTAATCAGGACATAAGAGCATCTTATTTCTTATTTTTAGAGTTGCTCAATATCATCCTGATACTATTCAATAGTACCAGGTATAATTTAGAACAGTTTGTATGACATACTCATCTACTGAATAAGGAGGGATTTATATTTGGGTTGGGAACCTGAAGTTGGCTACTGACAAATATTTTACAACAATGTATCCAAAATTAAAGCCTGGCAGACCCTCAAGGGATCTCAGCTCCACTGTGAATTATCCAAGAACAGATACCCTGTTCTGATGACAGACTGGGAAATGTGAATTATCTAAGAACATATACCCTTTTCTGATGACAGACTGGGAAATGCAACGGAAAATGAAGCTTTACTTGGAAAAGTAAAGAACTTATATCTCTTTCAAAAAATTGTGAAAGCCTCAATGTTATCCACTTCTCTGGATATGCATTTAGTAATTAAAGCTCCTTTAATAAATATTTGTACTTTCCACCCACATTAGAATTACAAAAACAAACAGGTCACAGAAGCTCATGTTTTTAGAACAGGTGGGGACATCAATAATCACATACTTCAGCTTCCTCATTTCACACATGAGGTAAACTGAGGCACGCAGACGTTAGGTCTACACTAAGTTTGTCCAACCCACAGCCCACGCGTGGGCCACATGTCGCCCAAGATGACTTTGAACGCAGCCCAACACAAATTCATAAACTTCTTAAAACATTACAAGATTTTTTTGCGATTTTTTTTCTTAGCTTATCAGCTGTCATTAGTGTTAGTGTATTTTATATATGGCCCAAGACAATTCTTCTTCCAATGTGGCCCAGGGAAGCTAAAAGGTTGGACTGGACAGTCATGGTCCACTCAAAGTCTTATGCATTGTTTTTTTTTCTTCGAGTCAGGGTTTCACTCCCATCAACCAGGCTGGAGTGCAATGGTGCGATCTTGGCTCGCTGCAACCTCTGCCTCTTGAGCTCAAATGATCCTCCTGCTTCAACCTCCCAAGTATCTGGGATTACAGGAGCCCACCACCGTACCCAGCTAATTTTTATATTTTTTGTAGAGATGGGGCTTCACCATGTTGGCCAGGCTGGTCTCGAACTCCTGAGCTCAAGCCATGCGTCCACCTCAGCCTCCCAAAGTGCTGGGATTACAGGCATGAGCCACCACGCCCAGCCTTATGCCTTGTTTTGATTTGTAGTGACATTGGGACTGAAACCAGTGACTCCTTATTATCCGTGAAGATCTTTTCCACTAGGCTCTATGGCTTTAATATTTTAAATATGTTAAATAAAATGTCACAGATCCTTGGAGCCATCTAGCAAAGATGTGTGCAGTGTTACAGTATAGCTTCAACAGCTAGCTAAAATCAGAGTAAGTGAGGAGGTATGTACAGCTTTCGGATGTTCTACAACCGGCCACTCACTGGATCCACACTGAGGAGCGCTGTGTGGAGGCGAAGGAAGGCAAGGAACCACAAGAGGACTGGTGCATCAGAAAAGCAAGGGGTTATTTTAAAAGGTAGCGTGGTGGTGCGGAAGGTACGCAGCCTTTGGAATGTGAGACCTAGTTTAGACTAGCAGCCTTCCTTCTTACTACCCGTTACTTACTAACCTTCATTTACTCACGTGCGAAATGGGAATAATCCTACCCACCTTCCCACATCCTGCGTAGAACAATTGAAATAATACATCGCAAAGCTCCTAGCAAGGGCCGGGGATACAGAAATTACCTACTAAACTTAACAAACTATTCCATTTGAGCACACAGGATCCCTGATTAGGTCTTAGCTGAATATTCTGGGACACTATCCCGGCAGACACAAGGCACAGAGTCAGCAGATACCTAAAGGAAAGATGATGATGAAAACCATCAGAGCTAACTGCATACTTTCCATTTTTCTACTTGATCCCTGACTTACCTACATGCCCACACTTGTAAGAATAACTAATCCATTTCATCTTCATTTAAGACTCCCCTGAAAAGAATCAGCTTTTTTCACTGCTCTCAGGTTTGTCCTGCCATGCCGTGTTTCTGTAAGAAAGCCACACTAGCCTTGATAAGGAAAGCCCATCACCCCGTCCGGGGGAGGAAGACTCCTCAGGCGTCAGTGTGGACTCAGAGGAGGCTGCCCGGCCCCAGCACAGCAGAGCTGCCGCGAGTCTCTTTTGCCCTTGAGCCCTCAATTGACGCTGCTGGAAGGGCAGGAACGCAGAAGAATGATGTAAATCTCTGCTAGAAGGCTGGCTTCCAGGCTCCAGTTCCCAATGACGCCTTCAGTTGCTGTTTTTTCCTTTGCCTAAAAATGTCCTTCCCGAAAGCATCCCTCTCTCTCTTCCTCCATCCTCTCCAAATGAAGAAGTGCTCAAGAAAATTGTTCCTACTGACAGCATTGAAAGCCAGCATACAAGTCCCCAAGAGATTCCTCTGGTAGCAGCTTGGTGTGGAGAGGGCAGTGCACAGGCAAGCTCTGCAAGAAATCGGAGGGGCTGGTTTCCAGGAGGAAGACACTCCGTGAACGGAAACAGGAAACCTCCACCTCTGTGCTACTCTGGCTCTCACAACGCCATGAATACCAGGTCTGGGTAGAGGGACAGAGTTCAGGAGAGAGCAGATGAGCTACAGCCACACGCAGGGACACAGACGGCTCTCTTGGGTCAGTCAAAGGAGGCAGGCCCACGGAGCGCACATACAAACGTACAAGTCCATGTCAATGGAATCCAAGAACAGTCAAAACTGACCTTTGGGGACAGAGATCAGAATAACGGTCACCTTGGGAGAGAGTACTGACAGAGAGCAGAGAAATGGGAAGGTTTCTGAGATGCTGGGAACATTCTATAGATTGATCTGAATGTACTTTCATGGGGATAAATCATAAAAATCCTTTGAGGCATCTGGCAAAGACTTGTGCACTTTAATGCATTATGTTACGCTTCATTTAAAAACTGAAGAGATGCACGTACAGCACACACTTGGGAGCAGGAAAGACAGGCAGTCTAGCCGCTCATGTGCCGCGAGCACATGCCTAGGATGAACTAAGCCCAACGCACCTGAGGACCAACGAAAAAAAATTTTTTAAATGACAATGTGAGGCAGGAAGAACTGCGGCAAATCCAAGTGATCGGTCTCCTCCCATTCTCATTTGCCTTCTTCCTTGCCACTTGTATGACTGAATCTGAAAAGCTAATGCTCATTTTCTATTTTTTTAATTCTTTTTTTTTATTATTATACTTTAAGTTCTAGGGTACATGTGCACAACGTGCAGCTTTGTTACATAGGCATACGTGTGCCCTGCTGGTGTGCTGCAGCCATTAACTAGTCATTTACATTAGCTCATTTTCTAAGTGGCCCCTGTAGCTGTGGACAGCCAGGCACTTAGTCCAGGCCAAAGAGACAAAAGCAGATGCCTGCTGGGACTGCGTGTGGGGTTCTGGGAAAGCTTTTGCTTTCCTTACGAAGGGGGAAACTGTAACTGCTACCATACCTCTTCCCACAGGCATGGCGGGTGGGGCTGGGACGGCCATCTTGCAACCATGAGGCAGCAAACCAGCACTCTGTGGAGAGCAGCATGGACTGAAGGAAGCCAAACAGCCTTTAATGGCATCGTTCTGCTCCTGGCCAGCCTGGGGCTGTCTGCCTTCTGACTTTTTATTGTGTATGAAAGATAACTACCATTTGTTTAAGTTAACCATTGCTTTATTGCTGCAATAATTGTAGCCAGATTCGTTTCTAACTGGACTAGTACTAACAGCTAGCTATCCTCTGTGCCAGGTACTCTGCCAAGCTCTTCTTATTATGCATCACACCCTCTTCCCTCATAAGATCCTGATGAGACCAGATCCCGATTATACCCATTTAAAAGCTAAAGAAAGTGAGTCCTAGAGAAGACCACAAAACTGGTTAGTGGCAGAGTCGTGGCAAGAACCCAGGTCCACAGAACACCGAAGTGCTTGCTACACTCTGGGGCCTCCCCAAGGTCCAGGTCCCCATCTTGGCTGTGCCAAGTACTAACTGGAGAACCTCAGACAAATGGCTCGTCCTCTCTGAGGCTCAGCTTCCTCACCTGTGAAGTCTGCAGTGAGGCTCAGGTCACGTGGAAGCATTCCATAAAGCAAAAGTGTTCAGTATCTCTTAGACATTACACTCTGGTGTTTATTTCTTTGGCTGGAATACATGGAATGTGAGAGATCAAGTTACCAAGGTCGTCTGGGCTCAGATGCCCTTGGTTTCTGTTGTACCTGGCACCAAATGCAACAACTGAGATTGACGTGCCCTTTCCCTTCCCCACGCCTTCCTTTTCCACCGCAACCACAGAGGCGATGTGGATATTTAAAGAGTGGGCAGGTGGCAGTGATATTTGATATATAATGATTTGATTTGGAATCGGGCCTCCTGAAGAAAGGTCCAATCCTGCAGGATAACCCCAAGGGTGGGATTTGGGAAAATGCCTCTGAACAGTTCTCTGGTACGTCAGCTGGGTCTGAACACCCACCCGCTGCTCTGCCCCCGCCCGGACGGGCCATCCAGCAGCACTCGCTTCCTCTCACGCTCCCGGCAGTCCGCATGAGCGTTACCAGAGTCCTCGTCTATAAACTTTCTGCTGCCAGGCCTGAGCCAGGGACTAAGCACACCAGAAACGAGACAGAAGGGAATTAATGAGCATTTCAACATCTCAGTGTCTCTGTGAGTTGCAGCTGCCCCACCAGGTTTGACAGCTTTGAGAACAGGGCCTCACTCACCCTGCAACAATGGAGCAAGTGAAATCTGACCCTTGGGCAGAGACTGGCCTGACAGTGCACATCTGAGCCCCAGATGCACAGGTGAGGGGCAGCAGCACGACACACTGGGTGAGGGCTTGGACCCAAGTCTCTCCACTGCCATGTGACCTTGAGCATGAGCCCCAGGCCGCCCAGCTCCCTTATCTGTGAAAAGGGGACAGTAAGAGTCACTGGGACAGCTCCCAGGGCTGA